CTGATTTCAGATTTGAAAAAAACAAAAGAAATCGAAGTGCACTTCTTTGGTCCTGTTTATATCTGTTCACCGCTCTGTGATCCTGGTTAATTTCCAACCCACAGAACTCTCTGATTGATTACGCATGACAAGTAATAGCCTGAAGGATGAATGCTGAGTTGTTCTCTCTTTTATTACACGTAATTAGGCAAAGGCATTTCAGTAAGTTTTGTTTTTGTTGGAGCTTTTTTTTGTTCAAAATTTTGACACCAGGATTTTCATTTTTACTGCAAATGTAAATCTGTTCCAAACATCAGTTATCAGTCATTAATCACTAATAATCAGTATCTCTGCCAGCCTTAAAAAAGAACAAACATGTCACTCAACTTCTCCTTCAGATGGCCTCAGGCATCTAGTTAGTCAGTCCAGCACAGAATTAATGCCGTCTGCTGCTTTCATTTACATCAATCATTTTACAGTAAACAGAATACTACTACAGATGTGTTTTATGTATTGATAGCTGTTACAGTATGTCACCTTTGTGCCATGAATTTGTGAGGTTTGTGTGTTGCTGTAACTGCAGAGATAGGCAGGGGACAAATACCCACAATGATTTTTGCTGGGAAATTTCAGATTCAAATGCCTCTACACCTTAAGTTCTGTTCTAATGTCTCACAAACTGAACAGGACACCAAGACTGAGCCACTAATTTACTGTAGTAGACCAACAAAAGTGGCTTGTACTCATTGAACGAGTCAATTTAAATTTCTGGATTACAAGGATTTCACCGAAAGTCTGATTTTTCTTTTGAAGGAAAAATGTAAATGATTTATTCGGAAAGGTGCCTTGATCTAAGCATGAAGGAACATAATATATCACAGGCAGCTTTTGTACTTAAGTTTATGTCATTGTAGAGCAAATGTCACGTATGATGCATTTGTTTTTCTTTAGCAGGCTTATTGTGATGAATGAAAAAAAAATATATAAAGCCCTGTCAGTAAGATCTAAGGAAGAGTTGGAGGATAAGGTTCAATTGCTGTACACAGATGCCTTTATTATCAGTTTACCGGCTATTGTTTGCCGTGGGAGATTCTCACTGTTTACTGTGCTGGATTCTGTGCCCCAATAATCCCCAGCAGGCACATCTTGCAGAGCTCACAGTGTGCCAGCGCCTCGTGGCCACTGACTAAGCAAAAGCAAATGCAGAAGTGTTAGTGGAGGTGCGGTAAACTGTGCAGATAGTCATCACTGACTCCCGTGACATGTGGCTGGGATACTAATTATTCCGTCTCATCATAAAACCTACATTTTGATTTCTATGCAGCTGTGAATTTACACTTTAGTCCAACTGCTCTCCTTTTCTGAAATGCCAATGTTTTTTCTTTATCTTTTCTGTATCCTCTCTGATTCATCTCAGATGCTGGCTATGAATTCGATATTTGCTACACCTCAGTCCTAAAGAGAGCCATCCGCACCCTGTGGTTTGTCCTGGACAGCATCGACCAGATGTGGCTGCCCGTCAACCGGACCTGGCGCCTCAATGAGCGCCACTACGGCGGCCTGACTGGGCTGAACAAGGCTGAGACAGCAGCCAAACACGGAGAGGCTCAGGTCAAGATCTGGAGGCGTTCTTTTGACATTCCTCCCCCGCCCATGGATGAGGGACACGACTTCTATCAGGCCATAAGCAAGGTGACAGCTCAGGGAAACGGTGACAAGTTGACTCTTTGTCTCTCACACATGCAAGCGTCCTCATGACATCAGCAGTGACTCACTCTTTTGTTGTAGGACCGACGCTATTCTGACCTGACGGAGGACCAGCTTCCCAGCTGTGAGAGTCTTAAGGACACCATTGCCAGAGCTCTTCCCTTCTGGAATGAAGAGATCGTTCCACAGATCAAGGAGGGAAAGAGGGTTCTGATTGCTGCCCACGGCAACAGCCTCCGGGGCATCGTCAAGCACCTCGAGGGTAAGAGGCAGAATAGAAACGTATGAGATGCTACCCAGTGCTGAAAGTGTTCATTCCTTCTTGAATTCTCGAAAATTGGCATTTATTGAATGTCTTCATATTACTCAAGAGTCAGTTGTTTAGTTAAAATTCATAGAGGGTTATTTTGCAGAATTACAGTTTGAATTTAATACAGATGTTTACTGTTTTTAGTGATTTTTTTTTTAAACACAAGTCAACTGGGATATGTTGAAGTATTTTCATTTTAGGGACTCATAGTTGATTTATCGCTAAGAGTATGTCTAGTTTTGATGTGCATTTTATTATGCTTTATACTTTTTTGAATAAAGTAAGATTTCTTTTGTCAACGCCGGTGATCTTTCTAAATTTCATGCTGGTTGAAGCTCTGAAAACTCAACAAGTTTCGTCTGCTACAGTTTCTTTTTCAACGGTCACACTAACTTTCTGTCCATTGAAATTGCCCTACATTCATCGCAGAGCTAAGATGTAGTTAGATTTAGAAAGTAATAATTAGCAGAGCAATAATAGACTATAATGATGGAACGGCGCTCAAATATTGACTTTTGCAGTCATTCCTTTGAGGGTTATTTCTCATCATTATTTCCCTTTGAAAGCTACAATCATATTACACTTTTACCCAGCAAATACTAGTTTAGTTTCCTATTTATTTCATACAGAACCTGTGAAATTGTCAAATTTAGGCATGCATTTCAGTTGTACATAATATCATACCCAGCTAGCATCAACTGTTGCACTCAGTCTGTATCAGCTGCCTGTAGCTGGACTATAAGAGCTGCATGTCTCTTTGTCATTGTTTCTCAGGTATGTCAGAGGAAGCCATCATGGAGCTGAACCTGCCCACAGGCATCCCCATAGTCTACGAGCTGGACAAGAACCTGAAGCCTGTAGGACCCATGCAGTTCCTGGGAGATGAGGAGACTGTCAAGAAGGCCATGGAAGCTGTGGCTGCTCAGGGCAAAGTCAAGAAATAGACTCGTCCTTCCTGTGGGAACTAGAGTGCTGATCAGTCATGTCCTGTTCTTTTGTCAAGTTAAAAAAAAAAAAAGGTCATTTACTATTTGTGTCATTGCAGACACGCGCACATACAGACACACAGTGTGCACTTTATTTTAATAATACCCAGCTATCACACAAACGTACAATCTGATTGGTCTTTACTTTGTGTCATACTATATCATGCATTTCATTACTAGACTTTGGTTTTCAGCTGTAATGTGGTTTAAGCATTGACCAAAATGTACATTAGGGACCAGCAAACAGGAGCAAACGTAGATCACCCATGCAGAGTTGTCCTAAGTATTCCTCCCTCTGAACAATCCGTGTAGGTGAAGCTCAGTGGGAACAGTATAACCTATAAAGAAACACTGGCTATTGTTGAAAGGGCAAGTTGGTTTGCTCTGCACTGCTGAATATTGTTTGCTGTGGCATTGTTCGAAAAAGAATAAATGTTGTGAGTCATTATGTGATGAAATCATTTCGTTGGTGTCTCATTTTCTAATACAAAAAAATGAAGGAAAATATGAAAGCAATGTGGAAATTAGAAATGTGGTAATTGTTTAATATGGTTTTTGCATCTTTGAAATAATGTCTCAAAACAGAATCCTCAAATATTTAAATCAAATACTGACCATATAATAAAATAAACAAATGACTTGCAATAGTGGATTTACATTATTATTAATAATAATAATAATAATTACAATAATACTACCAATGGGCTACAAGGTGGCGCAGTTGGTAGCACTGTTGCCTCACAGCAAAAAGGTCGCCAGTTTGCGTCCCGGTGGGGGCACCGGGATCTTTCTGCGTGGAGTTTGCATGTTCTCCCTGTGTAGTGTGGGTTCTCTCCGGGTTCTCCGGCTTCCTCCCACACAGTCCAAAAACATGTTGAGGTTAATTGGTGATTCTAAATTGTCCGTAGGTATGAATGTGAGTGTGCTTGGTTGTCTGTCTCTAAGTGTAGCCCTGTGATAGACTGGTGACCTGTCCAGGGTGTCCCCTGCCTTCACCCTAAGTCAGCTGGGATAGACTCCAGACTTCTAGTGAGGATTAAGCGGTATATAGATAATGGATGGATGGATAATATCAATGATTGGCACAGCAGTAGTAAATTCCAATTTGAGTGGCAAATTATCAATAGCCTTCTACAATTGATAGATTTTTAATAAATGTAACATTGCTAATTGTACTGTGTAAAGAGTAATAGCTTAAACACTTCCTCTATCCTTTATGCTCATGGGTTGTTTTTATGTGCCAGAAGACATATTACGAGTGAAATAAGAAGCCAACACCATGGCTGAGTATTTCTACCTTGACATTGTCATAAAAGATTGCTGAACAATTTAAAGAAGGTATTGTTTGTTTTCCGACAGGCATTTGTGGTTTGGTTTGCAATACAATTTTCTTTAAAAAAAATTAAAAAAAATAAATAAATGTGGATGGATGTATGGAACACTACCATATGGGATACTGTAAAAAGTGAGACAGTCGCAAGAAAAGACAGCGTGAATCTATTATTTTCTGTCTAAAACTGAAACTAGTTGACTATGTTGGGCTACTAACAGTATGCTATAATAGCTTGCTGTAGCACAAGGTAGTTAGCTTGAATTATTTGTTAGTGTAAAATAAGCATACCTGCTGTTTGGAATTTAACTAAAATGTAAATCTGGAATTTAAGTACCAAAAAACAGTTAAGTCATATTATTGGTATACCCTTTATTTTGGACCCATTAATTTAAAAGTATTGTGCAATAATCAAATCATTTTAAAACAATCCAAAATAACTTCTGCATGTTGCGGAAAATTTGTGCTGCAGTTTCAGTCGAAAAAAAATATGATGATTTTATGGTGCAAGTACCAAGTTTGGAGGGATTAAACGTGATTGATTCACACATGGCATGTGCCTGCCTGCATGTGCCCAAACCTGCCTCAACAAACATGGCGGATGGAGCCGTCCTCCTTCTTCTTCCGCTCACCGTGCCACCAGCCAATCAGAATCCACTCGAGTCCTTCCTGTCAGCCAATCGGCGGGCGATCAGCTCTTCTCGAAAACATGTCGCCCATGAAGCTGTGTGTTCCAGGTGAGTTCCGTAAATTTGCATTTTCTACTACTTTGGACGCAGTTACACCACTTTTCAGACCGTGTGGTGACACTCTGTTAAATTTATATTGTGTAGGCGGCGCCGCGTGGCTAGAAAATAGAGTTAAACAGCTGTGTGAAAGTGTAAAAATCCCGTTAATTATTTCCAGCTGCCACGCGTGGAGTGACGTCCAGCACCTCTATCGTATTTTCCACCTACTTTATTTTTATTTCAACTTACAGCAAGTTGTACGAGCTGAATATAAGACGGAGTAGGTGTATTCAGGTCTCTTGTTTCTCTTGTTTTTACAGTATTTTCAACGCTGTTAGTTTCTGACTTTTACTTTCCTCGGCAGGTTTCATTAGCTGCCCTGCCCATCGCCTCAGGCAGGATAACACATTCCTTTGCTCATATGTTTTGACGCACCCATGGGAAATCCGCAGTCTTATTATGCGGGTGTTAGTAGTAAATGTTATCACAATGCAACATTTTTCGTCTAATTATATGTGGTGGAAGTAGGATAATATCCGTGCATTGAAAGATCCTGCAGGATTGTTATTGCATAATGGTAATGATGGGTTGTGAGAGCTCAGAGTGATCAAGTAAATCATCAGATGAAGGGAAAAAGAATGGCAATATTGCACAAAGGTGTCAGATGTGTTAAACTGTATTGTGTTTTATTCCTACTGTCCACTGTGTGTTCTTAAACAGTAAATCTGTCACCACAACTGTGCAAAACTCTTGTTAAAAGTCTGCAAATACATACTGGGTTCCCTCTAGAAATGTGTTATGCTGAAGTAATCCACCCAAATCCTGACTTAAATTGTTGAATGATCTGTTCAGCTAGTAGGTGACAGCCTAAGTAACAGCAAACACATGACATTTGCTTTGTAAAATTGTGCTTCCTTGCAGGGACGGCCCACCTTTATTACCAAAACATTGACATATGGCACTACCACAACTGTTTCTTCAACTTGCACAATATCAATCTGCTCTTTTCAGGTGACAAACTATGCAGTGTAGAAGACTGTATTCCCGGCACAGGAGTATATATGCGACACGGCTACATATACTCCTCACTAGCAGGCTATGTGCTCAGGAAAAACGAGGGAGAGGAGGTGAGGAGGCGTGGTGGGTGAAGGTGAGGGTGGGGAAAGCTTTAGAAGTAATGAGGCAAGAGGGAGTGCCAGAGTGAAGGTGTTGTGCAATGTTTGTGAACATTACTGAGCTGAAATGGGTTTGTTCAGTGACTTTAGTGGAATCTGCAGAGTGCTGTAATTTGTGAGTCAAAGCTGAACAGGTTTTGTGTGACCTTTGTGCACGTTATTATTATTGTTTTTTTTTCTAGTTACCAGTGATCTCAGTTGTGAGAGAAACGGAAACACAACTACTACCAGATGTAGGAGCAATAGTCACCTGTAAGGTATGCAGTGGAATCAGATACAGTTGTTTTTATAATTTGATGTTGTGATTAACTGATTTTATCCAGTTTAGGTTTAGATGTGCTTTGTTACACAGCAGGTTTTTGTTTTTCCATTCTACAGGTGACAAGCATCAACCCCAGGTTCGCCAAAGTCCACATCCTTTACGTAGGCTCCACACCGCTGAAGGACCGCTTCAGAGGAACGATCAGGTAAAACTGAGTCTACGGTGAGGCACGCTGTGGGGATTGTTTTATTCTGTTTCCTAACCACAAGCTCTCTTTCTCTCTCTTTCTCTGGCTCAACAGAAAAGAAGATGTGCGCGCAACAGAGAAAGACAAGGTAAGGTTGAATTCATTTTTTCCCTAGGATCTGTTATTGAATCAAGCTGGCATGTTAAGTGTTACCCGTTTGTTATAGGTGGAGACGTACAAAAGCTTTAGACCCGGTGACATCGTCTTGGCAAAAGTTGTATCCTTCGAATGACCCCGAGGCAAAGACAAGTAAATACCTTTTTCAAGAGTAAAAGGTGAAAGCAATTCATCAGCCTTCAGCTTTCCTCTGCTAACTTTTTTTTTTTTCTCTGACATTCCTAAGCTTGATGTAACACATGTACAGCAAGAAAAATCATTTCAAGAGAGTCTTGTTATGATCCTTTAGGAGTGTTTTGGTTTTTTAAAAAGACATGTGAGGATTATAATGCATGACAGATACACATTTCCACATGTCAGTTTGAAATCAGTTGCAGCTGCCCATTCACTACGAGTAAATTTAGACAAGACTAGCCACTACTAAGAATAGTATATCTTTGCATTGTCGGATTCTGTTTTATTCGGTGGTTACTATATGCTGCACTTCTGTGTTGTTGTGTCCTTGACCTGCAATGTCAGATTTCTCTCGGCGATGTTCAGTCTAACTACCTGTTGACAACAGCAGAGAATGAACTGGGAGTCGTGGTGGCGCACAGTGAAGCAGGTAAATCTCGCTAAACTTCTGTTTGGTCCAAAATTTTGCTTAACTCTTCAAAGCACATGAGAACTCGACAGACACGACAAGTATCCTGTTTGAACACAAGGTGGTGCAGTATCTGTCTAGATAGCTGGATAGAAAGGAGGCCTGTTGTTGCTACTTCAGCACTGCAGCAGAACACAAGTCATTTGTACGGAGAGAGCCATATTAACAAACATGTTCTGTGGAATACCTGTGATTTGGCTGAACCATACAAGAGCCAGCATACAGTAATCTCATGTGTGATGACGAAGGCTTTCAACACAATTATTTTACTACTTGTGAGAGAAGTGGTAGTGGTGAAAATCAAAAGTGATTAGTTTTGTTTTATTTCTTTTCTTAAAATATGCTCATTCTGAATCTGCTGTGACTCATAGTTGCAACCTAATGTTAGCGGTGAAACTCAAAAATGATTAATTGGATGCGTGGAACCTCATGCAGATTACTCAGAGGATTTATCTTTATAACTCTGGTGATGCCATGACCTGTCCTGTCGTATCATAATCAGCTCAAATTCTCTTATACTTTGGGTTATGATCAAATACTTGCAAACTATGACATTGCTTCCAGACTCAGCTGTACATTTTTGTGTTATGTTCACTAGCAAATGTTGCAGCTGCAGTTTTAAACACGGCAAACACTACACCAAGTAAACATCAGCATGTTAGCGTTTTCATTGGGTGTATGCTGATAATAGCATTTAGCTTAAAGCAAAGCTGTGTTGAAAATACAGCCTCACAGAGTTACTAGCAGCACTATATAAACCCTGTCTTATTGAATATTCAATGTTATTATTGTCATTTTCTTTCATTTCATCTCAACTATGTTTTTCTGTAAACCAGGTGCCCAGATGGTTCCCATCAGCTGGTGTGAGATGCAGTGCCCGCGAACACACTCCAAAGAGTTCCGCAAAGTGGCACGAGTGCAACCTGAGTATCTACAAGCATGAGAGCCCTGAAACTTCTTTCTACCACAAGGAACACACAACTTCCCCCTCCCCCCCTTTCTTCAGTTGCTGTCGTCAGGTAGCCTCCCAGCTCTGAGAGACTGGGCGACATGCGATTCATCGGCTACTTTTGATTTCATGTCTGTCTATTCTTCTTTTTTGGGCGTTTAATGCCTTTATTTGATGGAGACAGGAGATGTGGCTAAAGAGAGTAGGGTTATGACATGCAGCAAGTGGTCTGGCCAGCCAGAAAACAAACCGGGGAGTCGCCGCTGGTGCTACGCGCCCACTCAGTTGTCAGGTCGCTACTGGTTTAATGCCCGAAATTACTTTTGTAACTGCTGTCCTTCTGCACATTGTGACATCCTTTTTGTATTGAGAACCCTGAAGAGACCAAACTGCATAAAATGCCAGAACACATTCTAAATGATGTAATGCCAGCAATGTGGATATTCCAAGTTGCCTTTAAATTTTCTGATTAGAACTGTATCAGTTCACTCAGGATGTTCCACTGAAGCTGACAAACTGTGTCACAAAGCAAAAAAACATGAAGGCTTCTTTCACAGATGCGGGATTTACTCAGTTTTGCTGATATGTGTTATGGCGAAGTCATATTGGTCGCTTAAAGGATGAAGTCTGTGTAGAGCCTTAGTCATCCAGTTCATGGTAAACCTAGGAGCTTTAGTAAAAAGCAACTGGACGTCTCCTTTAGGTTCTTGAAGGCATCATCCATCTTCTTTAGTTCTAGTTGACTGCTGGGGACCAGCTAGAACTTTAGAACACCTTCAAGAACCTAAAAGAGAAGTCTGGTTGCTTTTCACTGAAGCTCCTAGAACTACTTGAAGGATGAAGCAGTTGGTGCAGATGGTTCAGACTCCAATGTTAAGGAACACTTTGCATTTTGTATCCAGAGAGATCATTGCAACGGGCAGTAACCGATTCGACCAGAACGGCTGCATGGGGCAGTGCTGCACTTGTTTTGCATGTCATCATATATGCAGCAGACCTGTTTTTTTTGTTTTGTTTTGTTTTGCTTTTAAATACTGTGTCTATAAAACTGACAAACGCATTGACTTATTGAGACATTTTCGTGTCCTGAGGCTCATTTTTCCTCACTCCTTACCAGCATTTCCAGTTTTGAGTACCGTGACAGACAAATGTTGTCCACACAGCAGTTTTAAAGGAAAAAAATGAATGTGACAGTCTAACGTTAAATCAGATTTACAACACAGCTACCATGCACGGAATACTGAAGTACAGCCTATGATAGTCAAGATATTTTCCAGCACATTATCACAACTGAACGATTATGAGCCAACACCAAGCAGGCAGTAATGCTTATGTTGTTTTGAAGTGTACTCTGACTTTTCTTATTCCTTCTTCACTTTCAAGCAGATGTGCAAGAATGAAATAAAGTGACTATCAAAAACACACAGGCAAAGTTTTCTCTTTGTTTGCCGTTATTTGTTTTAAATAACAGAAGGATGAAAAAAATAAAATGGCCAAAAACTCTTCAAATTGAAAGACGAAACACTGAAGTTTTACAAGGTCACACTGACCCACATGAAATCATAATCAAATACATGGAAGCTGACAATTTTCTTTCCATAGAAACTGTCCAGTTTCTCCATCTGTGCTCATTTATATACACTTGAATCGTCATCTGTTGTACGATGAATCCTCCAGTGAAGCAGAGCAGACAGGACTGTGTGATTTAACAGTTAAAACACTGCACGTAAAAAAAACAATCAATCATCAAAGCGAACTGATCGACTTGCATTAATATCAATGGAGAACTTCTTATTGGATGGTGCGCTAAACCCAAGTCCTGCTCCCCTGTTACTGAAGTCCATTCTGCGAGAGTGGGCTCGCTCAAACTCTCCCAGAAGCCCCTTCTGCAGCTGCTGCTGTGCGTCCTTTCCCAGTGCCATATTCGCTCCTCCTGTGCTCGCCCCGGCTGGCTGGAAACCCTTTTTGAAGCCGCCCATCAACCGGAGGAACTTCTGCTGCTGATCGGAGCTGTCGAACTGCGCCGTGCTCCACTGGCCCAAACCCTGCGGAGCAGAGACGACACGGCAGGTTTTAGGAATCGCCCAACTGATTTTACACATGAGATCAAATTCTATATATCTCTGGCCTCTGTTGAAAACTCAGGGTGAGCAGAGTGAAAGATGATCTGGGGCAGGGTGGGTTTTTACAAAAGCTGGAGCTCAGACTGAGGTGCATTGTGGGAAAATCTTTTCTTTAGGCTTCATGCACAATCGGACTAAGGGGTCGAAACATTTCTGTCTCCACTGCATCAATTTTGACCTTTAAATAAAAATAAAAAGCTATCTTTTTCAACCGCCATGTGTGGAATAATAAAAACCTTCATGACAGAGAACCACATGGAGATTCCACAGTTTTATTCTCTGTACAGGAAATGGATGAATACTGACCACGGGTTTGGCAGGTTTTTGAGGTTGAGACGCCTCATCAATCTCCATTTGTAAAGCCTGTCTTCTTTCCTGTGACAAACCACAACAAATTAGATTAACTTTTCAACTATTTACTGCATAAACACACACACCAAGCAGTTTAAAGAGCTTTTCACAAGTAGAGCAAAGTTTATCTTAAGGATACCATTAATACATACACTGACAACTGGTTAACATTTATGAACTTACACTTATTTGTTATTTTGAAACTAAGATGAGAACTCTGACACCACTTACATCTCTGTTCATAACACTGATACACAGTCATGAGACGTTTAGCTTCACCTGATGTCTGACCTTTTGACACTGCAGGACTGATGAGTTCAACCACAAAAATTAGACGGCGCTTGCAACATTTTTATTTGCGCCACACATGACAATTTATAACTCAAATCCATTTAGGGTGTTATAACCCTAACCCTAACAAAATAAAACAAAATTCTCAGCTCGCCATTTAAACATCTGTGCTAAATTATATTAATATTTTTTTGATTCACAGGCGTATGATGAGCCTTACAGTTCCTCCGTGACTCAAAAGATTGAGATTCAGCAGGTTTGCTACATGCACTTGTTGGTTTAGCAAATATTGTGCTACTTTAACTTTCGTCAAATTCATCCAAAGTCCTTGTATATAAAACGGTACATAAAGTAGTTCAAAATGTGTTTGGGGGACAGTGTTTCGTAGGCGCGGATGTTTTTAACCTTTGTTTGAATCCAGATGAGCTGTTTCCTGTCTTTATGCTAAGCTAAGTTGTGCTGTCATAGTGGCTTCATATGTCTGGTGTAGAAATGCTCAGTGGTCCATATTCTCACCTAACTTTCCGCTGGAAATAGACTAAATGTATTTCCTACACGTCCAATCGTATTTATTCACAACAACAAGTGTCACATTCACAGCGATGAGAAGAGCCTGCTCACCTGGTTGATGGTGATCTCATCAGTGTTTCCACTCTTTGCTGACAGGAAAACAACATCCGCTTGGGGAGAGTCCTGAAACACAAACCAAGATCATGAACAAGAAAACAAATTTAAAACCACATCCCAACCACATGTGACAAATTCACTCACTTGCGACTCTTCCGGTTCTTCTTTAATCTTCTTCTTCTTCTTCTTTGCGTCTGTGCCGGCATCATTCACCTGCTCTTCCTCAGCGGGGCTCTTCTTCTTCTTCTTTTTGCTTTTCCTACTTGGAGCATCAACAGCTACTGTGATGAGATTTTCACTGCTCTGCTCGTCCTCCTCAACCGCTTCACATTTGTTCAACTGTGGTTGTTTCTCTTCACCTTTTGCCTTTTTCCTTTTCTTCGTCTTTGGCTCCGTCTCCTCGACGACCTCCACAGGAGCTATACTACACTTTTCTTTCTTTCGTTTTTTCTTTAGCTTCGTCGTCTCTTTGTCGTCTATTGTAATAATCTCGTCTTTTGCACATTTGTCTGTTTTCTTGCTGAGTATTTTGCCATCTTCTACCTCGCTCCCTGAAGCAGATTTGCTCTGTTTCTTGTTGCTTTTGATCTTAGCTGCTTCCACTTCATTCCCACCTTCTTCACTTTTGGCTTTTTTCTTTGCTTTCTTCTTTATTTGTACCTCCTCAACCTCAGTCTCTGGTGTTTTGAACTTCACTCCGTTTTCAGACGTTTTCTTCTTTGTTTTTGTTACACTTATTCCATCCATAGCTGGAAGGTTCAGCTGTTTCTTCTTTTTCTTTTCTTTGACTGGCTCCTCTGTCTCTTCTGGGCTTATAATAATATTACTTTTTCTTTTCTTGACTTTCTTCGGCACATTTACCTGTTCAGCTTCTTGTTCTTCCTCATCTTCTGTCCCGATACTTTCTGGTTTCATTTGTACAGACTCCTCCTTTACTTTCTTCTTCTTCTTTTGTTTCTTTTCCACTTCTTCTTCTTTTACAAAACATTGTACAGTTTCTACTTGATTCTCACTGTCAGGAGGCAGTTTTTTCTTCTTCTTCTTCTTCTTGACTTGTTCTTCTTGTCCTGAACCATTGACATCATTTGAAGCATCAGTGACAACTTTCTTCTTCTTCTTCTTGTCTTCCATCTCACCACTGCCATCCCAAGACTCCTCATTTACTGTGATGCCATCGAGCTTCTTACTTTTCTTCTTTTTTCTTTTCACCTCTGCTGGGTTCCCGTCATCAGCACAACCATTTGTGTTTTCAGATAGAGATGCTTGTCCTTTCTGGCGTTTCTTCTCCTTCTTTATTAGCTTCTCCTCCACCTTCATTTTCAACCCTTCCACTGGCCTCGGATTTGTCTGGTGAGAGAAATACAGTTCATGCAACACAAATCCTTTCTTTGGCATTAAATAGTTAAAAAAAAAAAAAACAAGGCTCATCAACACTGTGTGTAAGTGTGAATAACAGAGCATTAAACACTAACCACAGATTTGGCCGGCTGCTTGGGCTGGAAATGCTGATCAGTTTCTCTCTAGAGTCAGTCGCCTCTCCTGCAGGGAACAGAAATTTGCCAAAATGTTTATTACACAAATGCAGAAAAAAACACTGGCGCATTGGAATCAATTATGCTCCCATCTATCATGTCTTTTTATTTTATTTTATTTTATACACATCTTACACACATGCATAGCTGTATGCTTGTCACACAGTTTGATGTTGCACAATAAAAATATACTACAGAAAACTGGGAAATTAAATGTATTTTTTCTTTTGTCAGATCAATGTGCATTTAAGTTATTTCTGTTGAAATAGACAGAAATATGGAAGAACCTGAGTACTTTTATTTTTATTATGCTTTGGATTGCATAAGAAGACAGGATCAAAGCGCAGGATGCAACTTGTGTCTGATCGGCTTTCAAGAATAACATCCAGTCCTCTGACAGTCGTAGCTGCTTTCACAGGCCACAGATGTAGGTGTATGTCGGGCAGCCCATGAGAGACACTGCTGTGCTCGTGGAAGTACACATATATAAATATAGAGCACATAGCTTTGTGACGGAGATTTTACATGTTAGCTGGTTGCATTAGTATGGGCTGTTTGAGTCTTGTGAGTCCGAATGTTTGATCTGAACTCAGGATATTCACTCCTCCTCTGCAACAAAAACTCAGCTTTGCAATTGCTTTAAAAACAATTTTGATAAAGATTTGTCTATCTACAATGTTAATAAAATGTGTCTCTGATAGGGGCCCATAGCATGAATAGAAATAAAGGTACTCAGATTTTCTCCATTTTCCATCTTTATCTCCAGCATTGAGTTGACTGAAAATGATAAAAGTGATCCCAAAACGTAATTATACATGATCCGAAAATATGAAAAACACAATTTCAGTAAAGTAAATTTTCTTGATTTATATATGGAAAATCTAATGAACAAGCTTAATACAGATGTCATATCAACCTTCTCTGCACCTGTAGCTTCTCTGGGGGTTATTCTAGTCCCGTCTTTAGATAGATTACAGTTGACTACTTATGATTCATTCATAAACTAGGGCGCTATAATCTCAGGCTTTTCAGCAGTGTTTATGTTCAACACATTGCCTCACAGTACAACAGACATGTAAAGTCTGTCCTAAAACTACTTTTAAATCTTCTGACTTGCAGTGCTACCAGCTCAGCACAAATTATTCTGATTCAAAGTGGGATTTCTGCAGTGGTGGAAGGTAACTAAGTACATTTACTCAAGTACTGTGCTTAAGTTCCAGTTTAGGGTACTTTTATTTTGATTGAGTATTTGCATTTTATGCTACTTTATACTTCCACTGCACCATATTTCAGATGTCCTACTCTGGTACATTGATCTGATAGCTTTAGTTACTTCTAAGACGGAGATAAAAATTTAAACACATAGTTAAGTGCTTCAACGACATATTTATATGCACCGAATCCACACTGATACCAAGAACAACACTTTCTATATTTCATGCAAAATGAGCAGGACGGAAGTTTATTCATAAAACGGTGTATTCCATTGTAACTAGCCATGCTAGCTAGCGAGCTAACACTAGCTAAAAAGTTAAACCGACGCAGAAAGAAACAAATCAGCCAACCAGACAATGAGGGTCGTTTTCAGCAACTGTACTTGATATTATAACATGCAGACTTAAGATCGATGTACTTACTTTGTACGTTTTCACAACTCACGTGGACACCCATTTACTTTCTTGACCCGGAAGTAGCTTTGACTTGTTCCTGTAAGCGACGAGGCTGGCGTCCATAACAACCGGCGCGTAGGCGTGAACAGATTTCAATAACAAAAGAAATACAATAAATTGCTCAACAGGTACGATAGTGATTATTTTAAATGATCTTTGCTGATAGCAACGTAAGACTCGAGTCAATTAAATTGGTTGTATCACACATAATAGCCTGTATAATACACACACACACACACACACACAAACACACACACTGAAGAACAATATAAACACAGCATGGAATATTTTATTCAATTCTGTCCATTCTTTTTAACGTAGAGGAATTGCACCACTCTCTACAACTGAATGGATTGTTTGAATTTTTCTATTTTAAGACAATAATGAGCAGATGCAGTGGAGTCACAAACCAGAAATCACAAGTCACTTACAGGTCACACATCTGTGCCATGCAGACTTAATTAGATTGTTGATGCTTGCAGAATGTTGTCTCACTCTTCCTGAAGGACTTGGAGAAGTTAACAGACATTTTGGGCGACAGGATCATATTGTCAGATCATTCATCCAGAGCATCATGTGACAGGTTATCTGTCACCACCATGCTGTCTAGAATTATTTCTTAGACAACAGCTGGCTATGGAGCAGCCATTATTTGTCACAAATACATTAAATTTGAAGTCATAGTGCCGAGTCAGCTCTTATAGGACTGAAGCATTTAGTGTTAAGGTCCTTTTTGCGACTAAGAACAATTGGCTAAATGTAAATATTTTCTAACCACAACAATAGAACCTTGATTTTTTAAAACTTTTTTGACTGCACCTAATGGATGTCTAAATAATAGTAGTAGGATAAGTAAACTATCAATAATAAGTATTTTTAATTAACTGAAAATAGCATCAATGCACACGAGAAACAGTCCCTCTCTGGTCATTGATTTAACCCCTAAAAACTCATTTATGTGCATCAATTACACGTTTAACATTTTTTTCTAGGAAAATAATCCCTTCCTGCCTTAAAATGGCTCATATTTAACACTACACCATTGCCTTTTCCAGAATGTGCATGTCTCTAAAGTCCCTGCCTCTATGTCCACCCAACTCTCCAAACTGGCTGCAGCTCGAGCACACAAGCTCACCTACGAATCTGTACAGCTACTCTGCCCTAAACAATAACACGTTTTAATATTTGAATTGATTCTTAAGAAGAATATTGACATAGAGGGCCCCCTCAAAGATGCCAGGATTGCTTCCTTAGGTTTGTTATGTATGAAACGTTGGATGAAACTGAAATCTTGCATGAACCTTCATTGAAAAGCCATTACATCTAGAGCTGAACAATGAATTGATTTAAAATCCAAACTAAACCAAAATATACTGTACATCAGCTTTCACCTACAGCCTCTTGGCAGCCAGCCTTCAACCTGTACACGAACTTTTGAGAAGCCACCCACAGGCCATGACTTACTTACTACTGGAAGCTTCCTTTGACAACACTCCCACATGCAGTGAGGGATTTTGGCTATTTTTGACAGAGTGAGCTCAGATATGAATTGGCTCACGATTCAACGCATCACACGGAGGGGAGACATCGTGCATCGTGCACTTGGCTCTAAAATCAAGCTAAACTTGATGCACCTAAAATTAGTGATACAGCTATTTCATGATTGCCAACAGTAATAAGATATGCTGTGTAAAATATGGGAAACATGAGCTATCCATTTAAAAATACATCATTCTTCCACACCAAATTTGTCATATAACTGAGCAGGTCACATAAATTTGACTTATGAAGTTAAGTTAAAACAGCTTTCATGTGATGGATGCAGTTTTGATTGAAGTCATCTGTTAAGTAGAGATCATTTAATGTATGCAGTATGAACTGTCTTTACATAACGCACACGTGAATCAGTTTTTAGTGTCCCTTTGAAACCAGTTTCGTGTTGAAAATGCATTGTTTCCTTCTTACAGTGCATTGAACACCCAGTCGTCACACATACCGCTACACTAGAGGAGTACACAGTAGCAGCTCACTTGCATCGGTACATGCTGACAGAAGGAAAACAGACAATATTTAACAGAAAGTGTGAACTGATGTATTAGCCACTTTGTGCAAATCACGTTACAGACATTCATGTTATGCTGCCATAAAACAGTGACAGTGCTATCACCATAAGAGCATTTCAAAAGGGAAATACCAGTGCCTCTTCACATTTGGAACATTTGCAGTATATGTTTAAAAATCAGTTATATAGGGTTATTACATAAAAATCCTCTATTTTCATTTTACAATATCAGAGCACACACTTGTACACAAAAGCAAAATCATTGACAATTTTAGTGTTACAGCAAGAAGAAATGGTCACATGAATGTCATGACAGCTGCATTGCAATTGCATTTTAACTGGATGAATCATCCTGGTCAGAATTCACTGTTGCTCTAGAGATAGAAACTGCAACATTCCAGTCAAATAGGATGGGATTTTGATTTGTCTTGTTTCCTTTCGAGTTCAAATACTGATGTGTTTTAATAGCTCTAGCCAAATAGAATTCAATCTGGACTTTTAGCAAAACAGCACACATGACACAATTCCAGATAAATTCACATTGATGGATGGTCAAATATTTTTTCTGTAATTGATGGAATTTAAAATTTAATGGGATCCTGAATACCAGAATATACGGAGGTAGGAAAAAGTAAGTGAACCCTTTAGGATTACCTGTATTTATGTGTAAAACAAATCTTTGCACCTAAGATTTGCCAAAAACCACCAAACTGAATAGTTTGGTATAACCATACAGCAGTACATAGAGTAAAAATGAGCAGTGCTTACAAACATGAAAATAGAAGTGGGGATGCAAATTTTGAAAAATGTTCTCAACTTTTCATTGGTAGGGTTTTCAGTCAATAGTAGATTATTCAACAGCATGAGTTCAGTACAATGGACATTTTTCCATATGTTAATGTCGCTATATTTGATATTTATATGTGATGTTACATTATCCACTGGCCTATAGAATTACATTTAGGCACGTATTGAATACGTGAGCTCTGGCCAGAAGTCATTAACAACGACACAAGTCTTTGTCATGGTGGCCTGGTGTTAGCTACACCCTCATATTGCTCTCTACTAGTCACCACAAAACAGGATTAAATAGCCAGAGTACTAAAACCAAGTACTGCAGCTGATCTACAGTACAACAGAGAGAACAACATGATTTGAAGCCGCTTTGCTGCCTCAACCAGACAATGACCTTAAAGTAGATCTAATACAGACGAACAAAGAAAAGCAAAAAAATTAACCCCAGAGAGATGCTGAATGATTTTAAATGAGCAGATCTCCCCAGGCATCCAAAGAATATGACTGACTAAAGAAGTTCTGGGCAGGTTTTACTTACATTTTACAGGTTTTTAATGGGTGCATACACCCATAAATAGGATAATGATGAATGTTTGGGACCATCAATTAATGCAGAAAACCAGATAATTTCACAGGGTTCACATACGTTTTCATGACTCTATATAAACAAAGTGTCTATAATGATCAGTAGTCTCAGTGAATCCAGGGTAACATTTGGAAATCATGAGTAAAAATCCGCTGAAAGTCAGTGACAGAACAGTCTGACCTTGGTCTGTTTATTAACTGTTACTCTTACCACATGATCTTCCTCTGCAAATGGGATTTGTCCAGTTGTAATCATAATTTATGACTAATTCTGACTACTCTGAGGACTTCTCGTCCATGTTGGCTTGAAAGAGGTCAGGCTGTTTTGTCGAATGGTGCTTCCAATGTCGAGAATCTTTGAAACTCAAAACTACAAACGGTCCCTTAGTATAAATATCAAAACTCTAGAAAACACATACATCTTGACAAAATACACTTTAAACTGTGCTTCTACATGCATCTCAAATATCACAACTCCCAGATATAATCAGCGCTGATAAAGTGCAAAATCACAACCTCCAGCAGTAAACCCTATACTGCAGAATTAGAACTGCAGTATTAAATGGCTTTTTAAATTATGCTTATTATCCTTCTTTTAAAAAACACTATCCATGAGCTGGAGGCTTTTTTGTTCACCTCTTAAATCCATCTAATAACCTTCGACAACCCTTTACAAGCTCTAAATACATGGCGTTCTGGAATACGCATGGTGAATTGTGCCAAATGGTCGAACAGCACTGATACTGGAATAGAAATAAATAGAGAGAAAAGCACTATGAGAGTCCTTTGGGGCTTTCCAGCATGAAATACAGAGGTCAAGCAAGCTTTGTAGGCGTATGCAGGTCATTTACATAAACATCCTAAAGGTGTCCTTTCTGAGTTGTAGCTTGAAGCCAAACAAAAAAAGAAAGAAAGAGAAGATTTTTTTTGTTGTTGTTTAGTTTTTTTTGTTGTTTTTTTTACAAAAAGCAAGCGTCATTGATGAGCAGACATAAGTAACAGCACTGGATTAGAGCTGCTCAGGCAAAAGTGTTTACTACATTCAAATGATCCTCTCTCAGTTTCCACCCTAACAGAAGCTCATTCAGTAGTTCAATACATGTTCTTTTTTATTCACTATATCTCTATAACATAACCTCTATTTACACACTCCCTGTCATGGTGTGTACATATTACAATTGACTGCATGTGCTGATCTGCGTGGATCCAAATAACGCGCCATAAATACTGTTACTTAGCTGTGGAGGCCGCCTTCCCTTCTTGCGAGTTAACATCCGTTCTGCCGATAAAGAGGCAATCAAGGAAATTTAAGCAAAAATACTATTAGTTTGAAGTGTAAACTCCATAAATGTGCGCAGAAACACAAACACATTAAACATATCTATTTCGCATGAAGTCAATCCAGTATATGATATGTGGTGTTGTTAATACTTCCGTCTTCGTAGGCAACAGCAGGAGATTCTTCTACATCACCGATGTGACCGGAGTGGTTCCTCTTCAAGTCTAAACCCTTATTACCATAACCGTCGTCCAGTGTAGTTAATTGGGGCTGTGGGCATCTGCAAGAGACAAAGAATGAGGTGAGGAATGACTTCCAGGTAAGTTGTTTAGTGATTGAGAGAGAGAGACTCAGATACATAGAGTTTGTGTTTCTGCCATACTTACTGTACCCCCATTCATGACCAAAGCCATCTCAGTAGGTTGGTATACCTGGCCTCTGAAGGCGATGCCAGGACGGGCGCTCCCGTGGCTGCCGTGGTATGTTCCGCTTCGGAGAGCTGACAGAGCGATTGAGATAAAACACACACAAGTTACAGGTTTTATTCAGGCCAACAAGTGTGATATCATCTAGAACGTTACATAGCTTCATAACCCATGCAGGTGTTTTTAATTATAGCTAATTAGACCTCTTTTTAGGACTGTGTGGGCGACGTGAGATTGTGTTTGTTTACATCTCATCCTCTATCCTGTCAGCTTTGCTGGGTTGGATGAATTATATCATGTCATGTTTAGTGGTGCATGGAGCTTTATGACCTTGCATAATAAAACTGTGAAGTGGAAGGAGCTGTTTTAGCAACTGCTGCTCCTGTTCATTTTCCCCATAGACAATGGTAGGAGCTCTTCTACAGCATGAAAACGTCCTGTTTGAATCCATGATTAACAGCTTCATCAGGAATAGGGGAGCAACCGATTACAAAACTGGCAGTACTGGGAACAAATACTGCCATGACTGTTTTAACTATTTTTTTTAACATGCCTTTTTTTTGCATTGAGATTAAGGGAATTATTTGTTTGTCTGTTTGTCTGTAAGCAGGATTACACGAAAACTAACAGGGCAAATTTAATTAAACTTGTCTGTATGGTGGACTATGGATATATAAAGAACACATTAAATTGTGGTGTGGATCTGAATCACGGACAATTGCCAGACAAGGTCCTTAAAGTAAAAAACAACAGTAAAACTGTTTCACACTACATAGATAAAACTCTAGATTAATCACCAACACAACCCAAAGCTGTGTCAGCACCTGAGGATGGTCTGTCTGCACCTCGTCATCATTCTGCTATATGGGGGGGAAAAGGCTATGAGTTGTTTGTATTTCTTTTAACCAATCACAGTCCTCTTGGGCGATGCTAAGCCCTGGATGCAGCAACAGTGTCCCTGCAAAACAGATGAATTCTTTAAGTGGAACATCTGCATGCAGGGAGGTGCACACTAGTAATAGCACTTAAACCAGTTCTGTTTTACTTTCTGGCTCAATTTAATTGCTTAAACACTCTGTTTTGTTCTCTCTACTCTTTCTGCCCATGCATTTATATGCCACCATTGCACGTCATGAACTTTGTGTCTTCTGGCTTTCACAGTTTGTGCTTTTTCTTCTCTGTCCTCTCTCTTTCCATGTTCGTGTCTCTGCTTCCAGATCTGCCTGTTTCTGATCTGCAGGTACTGTTCCCACCTGTTCCCTATCTATCATTTGCTTTTGCTCTGTGCCTCTCACCCCAACTGGTCGAGGCAGATGGCTGCACACCCTGAGTCTGGTTTTGTTGGAGGTTTCTTCCTTTCAAGAAGGTGTTTTTCCCTCCTGCTGTCACCAAGCTCCTGCTCAAAGAGGAATTGTTCAATCTGTCTATATAAGATTGTAGGCTCTCATCCTATGTAAAGTACCTTTAAATGACACATTACGGACTACAACAACAACTCAATATCAACACAGTTCTTACTTTATCCGGGAGAGTTCCATGTTTCTATCCATGGATTTATGAAGACGAAATGGATACCAAAATCTAAAAAAACATCTGAATGAATGAAGATTCCACAGATGGAACCTGAACCTGAAAAGTTTTCTATCTTCTGGGGTTTGACTTTGCATTGAGATGTCATGCTGAACTTCCAAATATAAGCTTCTATAAACCTCTTTGGATTTATTGCGAGATTTATAATAGATAGACCAAATTTAGCAGTGAGGTTAAGTGACATCTGCGCATGAAGCTCTGTTAACACATCTATGATGGGAACACAGAATGAGGGGGAAAAAAAACCCAGCACATCCTTCCACTTTGCAGCTTTGTTTCCCAACACGGACCCACTCATCTTCAGCCCGAGCGGAGGTCTAATCAGAGTAATTAAGAAAATCAGTGGTTACGTCTGACATCACTCCTAGTTCGCTTCTCCTGACGTAATTCACACTCATTAGCTTCCTCTATAGTGAGCACTTAATGAAGATTTTGGACACATATGAGTCATCAGCCATTTGTGTCATCAGTAGCAGGTGCAGTGTTACGTAGCTGTTCATTTTCACAACTATAAAATGTGGAGCAATGTACTGTGGGATTGTGAGCAGATAAAAGCAGTCGCATAGTACACTGCTTTTCCTTTTTCTGTGGGTTTACTGGAGGGCCCTATACAGTGAATACATTGGAAACTTCTACACAAAATAAAGCAGGAACAGATTATCAGCGTGTTCCTCAGTAATGGCAAGTCCACAATGTCTATCTAATGTTTGCTACTCAAGTTAGTGTGAGTGTGTTAAATACAGCAAGAGGGCATTGTGTTGGATATTAGATGAACTTATAATGTAACAGACAATTGCAGCTTCTGCCAACTTTTTACAGTGTAAAGTTTATTATTTGTTTTTATGTTTTTAAGAAGTCTGAGATGTTAATATGATAATGATGAATTATTTAACCCTATACCCCTCGGTTAATTTAAGGGTAATTTCAAAACCTTTACTTACACTCTCTATGAGGGCTAAATCTTCTGTCATTGACATGATTATAGATTTTTTATATCTCATTTATATTTAATATGGATTATTCCATTTCATAAAAAGGGGCCTTATTCTCGACAGTCCAGAAACTTTTTTTTTTTAAACCAGAAACTATGGATATTGAAAGTGATACTGGTGAAATTTGAGATTGATATATGTAGTACTTTCTGAGATTTCTTTTTTTTTTTTTTTTTTTAAGTTGTCCATCAACTCACTTTCAGCACCTTTTTGATGAATTCAAAAAGTACAATAGGTAAGGTAGCAGTTCACTCTTTTTCTCCCATCTACAAAGTGGGGTCCAAAAATTAAAATATGCCTATATTAATAACAATAAAAAGATTTTCTTGGTTGCGATTTTTATAATTATTATAAAACCATATTTGAACTCCAGAATTCAGTTTAATTTGGATTAGGCAATCCAACAATACTTTTGTTTTTGTGGTTAAAGTTTTCATACCTGCCTAATCAGTTTAAAATTTGAACAAGAATACATATTTTTCTATTCTTGCATATTTCACAATAAAAAGAATTCTGTATGGATTTGTTGTACTATTATGACATGCAGCTAGATATGGTTCAGAAAATATCACTGGCTGACTTCTGCATTATCAGTTTTCTGTAAATATGTGCTCAAAGATGAGACTTTTCATGACGGCTTTTCCTATTGTAACTCACCTGTAGTCGGAGGTTATTTGATCTACTTTTCCAAAGTTCCATATTCAGAATTAATGGCATGATGAGAAATAAAGGTGAACATTTCAGATTTTTAGCCCTAATAGGTCCTAAGATATTGTCTTCAAATATCCATATGCAAAAAAAAGCCCAAAACAACAAAACATGCTTAAAAAGTGATCAACAGGCTTTTTTGTTTTGTTTTTAAAAAGTAATTAATATATCAGGCAAAAATTTCACAAACATCTTTATCAATATCCATATTTTATGCCATTCAAATTTCAGGCACATCAGAGATGCTCAAACAGAAGTTGTTCTAAAAAATGTGATGATTTGAGATGGAATGACCCCTTTATATGAAGGAAAGATATTTTGTGTTAAAATAGTTAGGTTTTTTACTTGTTACTACAACACAAAATGCTGCCAGTAGAAATGTCTTTTTTGAATTGTGATGGTAAGATTGTGTGAAAATTGGTCATATCAAAACCATGACAGTGAGATACTCTGGGACTTGGGGAAACTTGGGCTATTGGTGAGCAGGAATAGGTGTTTCATTCACCAGAATGTTCACATACAGTAACCTTTAGTAGAGATGGAAACCCAGAATGTTTACATCTCCACCACACCCCCAAACAAGAGGCCACACCTTAATAAATGTTGTTTTGTCATAAGCTGTTGAGTGGATCATTTTTATGTGGCTTGACAAGAGAGAGCCTCACTACAGCTATATCAATACATTACTCACAGCCTTTCCTGCATACATTTGAGACACAGAGAGACTGAAACGTGTCTTACATTGTCCATTAGGGCAAGTAATAGAAGCTTTACCTATCTATCTGTGCTTTCAACCACAAAGTAAATCCTCCTGTGTCTTGCTTACACTGCTTACATCCTCTCTGCATGACTCACTATTATATCAGCTTGACAGCGGACAACAAATAGCATCAGCAGCATCCTGAAGCCTGTACGCTGCCTTTCTGCCACTTGCCTTCACTTTTTGTTTATCCTGGTTCATTGAGGTTTAGCTTCTCATCTGTGCATCTGGCATCAACTAAATCTGGAGAGCAATCAAAGTGAAATGAGTCATTATTCTCCCCGTTGAAAATCTGGTTGGATAATCAGGCATTTTATGAGGTTTATTGAGATTTTAGCTACTTTAGAGTAGCTAAAAGTGAGCCACAGTTTCTGTAAATGACGCTACATGGGGGTTTATGGTGGTGTTACAGCAGCCATCTTAATGGGAAATTAATCTGCAGTAATGATTTTAAGGTTTGTGTTTTTGGGAGGATTTTAAGAATTTTCCAAAAGTAAAGTGTCAGTTTGACTTTTAATTAGTTTCCTACTAGTATTATTTTGCTTGAATTCTATAAACCTGAGGGTCACGCCACGTGTTACTTTAGTTTTAAAAGTGTTATCATTATTATTATTGTTTTTAAATCAACATGATTTCCCCTTATTTAATGTATTTAATTAGTTTAATTTAGTAATAAAGATTGTATTTTATTTTATTTACTTAAATTTAATTTGTTGTTGTTTTATTTTATAAATTCATTATGCTCTGTTTAGTTTAGCTTTAATTTAAAATTTAATTGATTTAATCTTAAGGATTACTCTTTCACTATTGAAGTCTCTTGCAAATGACTTGATTGTTTCATCTGACCAGAGCTAAAAGACTGACTTAATTGGCTGATTAATAATTTTTATTCTTATTTTTTTAAAGTCAGACCATGTAAAAGGTAATTACTTTTGTTGAAAAAAATCAGGCATGCATTTTTGTTTGCAGTTGCTTAGCAACAGTGGTCTCATAACTTACTGTAAAATACGTAAATGCCAAACATATATTTTACTTAATCTAACATGCTGAAAATATCACCTAATGAGTTCCAGTTGACAGCAGCATTTGACCCAGGGAGAAATGTAATTTCCTTTGAAAGTGACTCTTTATCTCTGTTACACAACCATGCACAGACACACAGGTATCACATAGGCCTACTTGCACTGTGCTCCTCCATGGAAAAGGCCTGGTTTTCTGGGAAGGGTCGGTGAGAGTGTGCAGGGAGATCATCTCCAAAATGTGGAGGAGGAGACGTGTTACTGGTGTCAAAGAAATCTTGTGTGTTGGTCTGTGGAGGTTTCCGGAGACACAGATGCGTCTCTGGTATGGCGTGGAGCAGGAGCAGGATCCAGCCCTGAATAACCAAGGCCACAGCCAGTGCAGGCTCATCCAACACTTTTTCTTTCTGTCCTCCTCCTCTTTTCCCCTTTCCCCTCAACGCCTGGCTGCCATAAAGGTAAAACCCCAGCCAGGCCACCCATAGCAATGCCGATGCCAGACTGGACAGAAAGAGCCAGACGGCGTTACACTTCCATCTCCGTTTTTCACTCTCTCCTTCTCTGTCTTCTTCGCCGCCACCTCCTCCTTCTCCTGCCAGCTCTCCTCCACACAGCACCACCCCCAGAGAGAGACCCATGGCTATGAGGAGCAGCCCCAGAGTGTAGCTGCATGTCAGAGCGAAGTCTAAAGGTGGATACTCGCAAGCCGGGTGACCCTCCCTAACTACAGTCAGCAGGACCCATTCAGCGGAGATTATCCCCTGAACCAAGGCCAAGGCCAGACCGAGCGCTGCCAGGGTGCTGCCCGTTGGGCTCAGCTTTCCAGCCACCAGCCTCCTGAGCCTCACACCCTGCACCAGCAAGCTGGAGAAGCAAAGAGCAAAAAGAGGTCCCCAGAAGGCTCTGCGAACCACACAGAGTGCCTGGTTCTTCCCCACCAGGAAAGCCAGAGAGATGGTAAAGAGCCCCAGGAGCGTGCCCAGGAGCAGCAGCAGAGGCCCCAGACCGGACCGCCTGGCGGGGTCAGAAATGGAGCGCAGCTTTACCAGCAGGAGCACAGCGAGGACCAGGGAGGTGACGCCGCCGCTGCAGGCCACGGCCTCCAGAACAACACCCCACACTGACTCCAGGTCGCACAGCACTCTGTAGGGGGGGTCCACATCCACACTGCATCCCCGAGGAGGAGGAGAGGGGTGGGATGAGCCGTAGCCAATCAGTGACAGGAGGCAGATGATGATAGGGCTGACTGCCATCTTAGACACAAAGAGAAAAAAGATGTAGTGATGAAGAGAGACAGGGAAAGGGTTAAAGAAGAGAGAGAGAGAGAGAGAGGGGGGGGGAGAGGGAGAAAGGTAAAGGCACACACAGATAAACAACAGGATGCTGTGGTGAAAAAAATCCGGGCAGGAGGGAGGCAGGAATATGAGTGTAGATGTAAATAACTGTATATGAGCTCCTACAGCATCCTCATGATCCACAACACAGTAGAAACAACGGTTAATATCTGTTAGGATCCAATAAACCTGTTGTATGAGATGTTTCTCATCGTTCAGACGCACACAAACACACACTCACGCACCCACCGCACAGAACAGAACTGCTTTTAGCACTGGGCAATAGTTTCCATGGAGACGGGAAACAGCGTGGGCTGACTACATTGCATACTGGGCTTTTAAGGAGTCGAGTTCAATGCCCAAAATCACAGAAAAACACACGAGCATGCTCGCACAGGCACACACACACAACATTTGCAGTTATTTGTGAGGACCTTCGCTGTCATAAACCCTCACCAGAGCACTGACATGAACCTAAATTTAACCCTTACTCTCATGCAAAGAAAGTTTTAACCTTTAAACAGCAAATGAAGCCACAACGTCATCACAAGGTTTAAAAATCACAATTATTTCACTCACCTCAGATAAATGGTTGGCTTGATTTCTTGATTACTGACAGAGCAGAGGCATCATATTTTCATCAGTTGCAGCATCACTTCAGTTAAAGTGTTTCTTTTTTTTTTCTTTTCTTTTTTGTAATCCCAGTTAATGAAATCCTTGAGGCAGCAGAAACAAAACGGTTTCCATTTTGTCTTTGAAAATGTCGCTGTCTGCGCTCACAGCTCCCACTGTTTCAAAGTACAAAATAATACACTTTGAAGGACTAATAATGCCCTGCTGATGCAGTGACTTGTCCAGCTGCTCCAAGAAGAATCCACAATTATGATGCATGCCTTGATACTTCACACACCCACACAGTCAAATATATCTTCTGTCGCTTTCACTCTTCTCTCTCTCTCACTCTCTGCCTCTCTCCCTCTGTCCTCCTCTTTCTATTCATTCTGTCTGCATGTCTGTGTTTCTCTCTCTCTCTCCCCCTTGCTTCACGCCGAATCTGCGGAGGAGTCAACAGAGATACAATCCCAGCTTACTTCTGCTCACCCACACACGGGGAGTATGATTTGCTGATGCACCTGTCTAACCAGGAAGAAGATAGGAAACAAGTACAGTATATAAGCACGGCAGTTCACAGTCAGTCTGGTATTAGTCACTCGTTTGCACATCTCGCTGTTATTTCCTGCCTTGGGGCTCCCACGTCTTCCTCTTATCACTTATACAATTCTCCCTCACAGATACAGATTCAACGCTGATCAATAGATGAGACCAGTTTCCTCGGCGGTGAGGTGTGTGCCGATGGTTGCAGAGTGTGAGGATTTGGAGGAAGGAAGGAGGGGCAGATGGTCAGTCTAAACACAGGTGAGCCTCCTGGCCATGTGACCATCCTCGTAGAGAGCGTTACGTAATACCCTGGAAGGCATGATTCAGCCATGTGGAGCTGGCGAGGGAATATCATGACACCCACTGTAGCAGCTAATCGAGTCAGTTTGGATCAGCGTGTGAGAGATTGGTGTTGACAGACTCCCGTGAGCTCACATAGGACAAGCCAAAGCTGGTCTGCGGTGCACGAATGAACTGGCAGACTAACAGATGTAAGAGAAGTAGTGCACACCTGCTGGGTCATTCAAGATGATCTACATGCTGTGTTGCATGCAAGCAGCAGTGAGCGCTTTGGTTGGTGATAATGGATGAATGAAGTGATGACGAATGAGTTTTTTTTTCCACACAGTTCATTGTCAATGTTTTATTCACTGAAATTCCATTTTTGGTCACAAGTCAAGCTGAGACGTTCACTCTGTTTTGCTTTTTGTACTTTTTGTGATGACATCACTCTGAACTTTCGAAAAGTGTTCCCAGCCTTTTAAAGGAAAGTCACTATTTTGACCAAAAGGAAGATGAGAAGATTCGTGCCAATCCCATTTTTATAGAGTTAACATAAAGCTAGAGCTCGCAGTTGGCTAGCTTAGCATTAAGGCTGGAAAAAAGTGTGTGTGTTTTAACTTTTTTGTGGTTTTCATCCTTATAATTTGAATTATTCTGGGAAATTCACACCATTAAAAACACCTTTAAAAGTGTGCAGTTATTTTGCAAGGGTAACCTTAATGTTTTGCCGAAAAGCACTTTAATGCAAATTCTCTGGCTTTAAATGTTCCGTATAAATACATGTGCCTTAACTTCAATAATACAGTACACCTTGTTTGTTTAATTAGTACCAAATCCGAAGACTTCTTTCACCGGGAGTCTATTTGTTAGCCAGGACTAATTTCCTGGCAGCTATTTCCCCTGTTTCCACTCTTTGAGCAGGTTTCTGGCTAAGCTTTTCCAGCAGTTTATGCACTGAAAAATGATTTATTTAATAATAAAAAATAATTTTGCAGCTATTGGCCCCATCTTTCACTAGCTCCATCATCTATCCCAGACAACCCACACAGCATCCAAAGACTTTTAATAGCTCCGTATCTAAGCACCCCTCTGAATCCCCTTTGGATCGTAACTGAATATCTGCTGTCTCAGAAATTACTCTCTGATGTGCCTCTGCAATTAATACAGAGCAAATATTTGGAAATGTTTGAGAAACCTCAGTTCGATGTCTAGTCTTTGTACATGTGAGTTGTTCCATTCTGTATATAAAGGCTCCAGGCAGAAACAAAAGAAGACAACAGGGCAGAGAAGTGCTGACTAACTCAGGATATCAGCCCTAATCTGGGTAATCTTGTGGTTGCTATGGTCACAGTCCAATAGAACCTTGTTAAGTATGGCCCATCCCATAATCCCAGCTTTATCCCCCTACAGGTATCTCCTAGCAACCATCCAAACGCAGCCACAGGGCACAAAAAGTTCACAAGGAGGCTTGTTATGCTGAACTGACTCCCATTCCCAAAGACACAGCGACAGATTGAACGCTTTGCTCAAGAATTTCAGTCGTTGAAGTTTCCATATATGGTGAAAACCCATGTTTATGGTTTTGTGATTGTTATAAACCTTGAGACGTGAACTAACTTCTACTGCCGTCCAGCTCATCTAGCTCATCTGCGTTAGTCATACAGCTCAGACTTTGTATAATCCTGCCCCCTCAATGTCCACTGCTTCCATTCAGAAAGAGCAGCTACCTCACAGTCCACCAGGTTTATTTATCTTTTTAAAGCTGCTTCTGGTAACTTTAAAGTCTCTCAGCTACAAGAAAAACATACAGAATATTCTGCTGCTGGCTGCAAGAGTGAACACAAGAGTCTTCATGCACACCCAGCATCCGAGGAACTGAAGGCCCAGTGGATGGTTTTAATTATTGAAGGCAACGTTACCAATGAAAGG